AAGAAGAGAAAAAAGAGGAAAGAAAAAAGAGAAAAAAAGGAAAAAATTTAATTTTGATAAAAAATATCACTGGCAGTTAAAAAATTGCTCTAATAATTAAAGAAAAAAAAAGCGTATATATATAGTTCACAACCTAAACAAACTAATAGCATTAAACCTTCATCACAAAACAGTTCAAATTAGGATTACTCAAAATGTGTCTATGAATTTAAAATTTTGTTCTCTTATGATGCAAAGATCTTGTTGATTAACACAAGAAGCTGGACAAAGCTTTCTTTAGGAAGATGCACTCTTAACATTTTTCTCACTGGTCAGGTTATTTAGATTCTCTAGCTCTGCCCCATAAAGACACAACACAATTTTAATGTCAGCTTAATCAACATATTTCCAAAGTCTTGGATCTCACATCACAGTGAATTGTCTTTCAGAGATGTCTTCTTTTTTCACACTACAGATTTACACTAACAGTAAAATTACCATCATTAGATGATCTATCTGTATTTTCTCAGTGGTTATAAATGCTTGAATGAATAACTAAAAAACTCTATCACGCAGATCACAGCATCTGCTGAAAAGCCATCATTCCATCATAATTCTATTGAATTGGTTCCAAAACTGTGAGTAATCTTTATGAAATAGATTGGTACTTTAATGTCTGCTAATCAAGTATAAACCTAATAATTCAACCTATTGTCAGACTTTGCCACCTTCTTAGCTGTCTCAATATCTCATCTCAATACTGAAAGGATTTACATACTGTGAGGTATTTTCATCACTAAAAATTATTTCTGTTTTAAGCTGAAACAACACAGTGCGTGGCACACTGCCTCAGTTCAGTGTTGCAGATATACAGGATAGTCATGTTATAACTTTGTCATCTTTCAAAACCATGAAGTCTACATTCATAATGAGCAAAACAAAAATAAATAAAGCTCCTCCTTTTTTCTTACATGTTTCCATACTGCTTTGATGGATATAAAAGAAATGCAAATCAGCATTTTAAACAGAAAGTGCCATGCTTAGCTCCACACCTTACCCTGTGGCCAGGAAATGCTTGATATTCCATGGTCCTCCACATGGCTGAACTGCTGCTGTCATACATGATATGGAGGTACCCAAGAGCGCGAGGCTCTTAAAGAGCTCCTAGCATACCTGCTTGGGGAGCACAAATTGCAGTTTCCAGGCAGCATCCACAAGTACAGAAAGAAATCCAAAAGTACTTGCCATTAATCACAAAATGTTCTATTGTGACAGGACTTTTACAGTTCATTGTGAAGCATTAAAAGTCAACTGTTATCAGGATCATGGTTACTTAGAATTACTTTCTTGAAGTTAACAGTGCAAAGTAATTAATTTTTAGAGCATATGAAGGATCTGTTTGGGGTATAGGAGGGTTGCACTGCAATCTTTTAAGCTTATTTTGATGTATATGATGGCTTCATTGAAGTCAGTTGAGGATCAAGGTCTGCACAAATTCCAATAAATATAGTTTCATACAGAGGACTACAAAGGAACGGCTGTGGGGAGGATTAACAGTACATGTTGCATATCACAAAATTAGTAGGTAGGTGGTTGTCTTTGAACTTACTGTGAGAGAGTACATTTTATATCAACAGCCATCAATGACATAGAAAGACACAAATAAAAATACCACGTAATCACTGCCTACTGAAAACAGTTGTATTCAAACATCTGCTCTCTCACTGAACTCTTTACAACACTGTTTTGACATAAATATCTCTCCAACATCTTTTATCTCATAGACTTATTTTAATAGTTTTCTGAAATACATTTTAGGTACTTAGTGCAATTAGTAAGCCTAGTTAAGCCTTATTTGTACACTCAATTTCCTCTACCCAGTGCTGGCAAGTCCAAATGGCATTGGTGCTAGCTGCCATGGAGTGAACAGTGTAAACATGAGGTAAAGCTTTAGAGTGTTGAATTCTACTACTGAATCCTTACAATGCCACAAAAAACCTATCAGATGCTGTGCAAAGAAGCACAGTATGAAAACTAGTATTTTTCTATTTAAAATATTTTCTGCACACTCCAAAGACAAGTCCTAAATTTTCAATAATGTATGGCATTACTATTCCATTTTTGCTTTACACAGCCTTTATTCTACAGGAAGCGAGACTGGTCTGGCCAGAAATAACGTTACCTGATGTTTCAATGACTAACAGATTAGTTTATAATAATCTTGTAGATCATGAAGAATGAGCATCAGGCTGGATTAGGTAGGACTTGTTTGACCTGCTCAGCTAGAGGTGGACTCCAACAATTTGATTCCAGTATGCAGTCTGAAGCAAAAGGCTCAACCAGAAAATTATGAGCCCTATGCCTACCTACCTAGTTAAAATAATTTTTCTATCTAAGCAACTCCCAACTAAATAATAGTTGTCATCTCCAACTACCTCAAATTGAGAGTTCATTGCTGCATTTTCCACTTAAATTCCTAACTTTGACCTTGGAACACCACCTAAGACAGTGAGCAGTAATTCAGTTTCCCAACTACCTCATTCTAAGAGAATCTCTCCTGAGAGCAGGCTGCTAAAGGCAGTTTTGTATTTGACCCAATACTAGAACAACAAACTCCACTTCAGTTTGAGTTACAGTTTGGGTTTGGTCCAGGACTACAGATGGCATCAAAGGCAGTTTTCTTTCTTGTAAAATCACTTATCAGCAGCATTTCTACCTTGGGGAAGGTGGCATTTTCAAATGTGCTCATCACTGATCTTCCTCTCCTTCCTATACATTTCATATGGGAAAAATGGGCTGGGGGGTGGGGGTAAAGGGGGAATGAACACATACGACAACATCCAAATGTTTCTCATAGCTGAAAAATTAAAAAAGAGAAAGAGGATACCCAAATTGGTGTCCTATTGATCCTATTGATGGTGCTTAAACAAGTAACCTTTTCAGGTCTCAAAGTTTCTTTCAGTATAACAAATATTTGGGAAAGAAACCTTATCATTTGGGGAAGAAACCTTATCATTTCTGCAGTTGAGCTTCACTAACTTGAACTGTTATAGCATTCTACCACTCTTTCTCCAAAACAACTCATAGTAATATATCTGAGAGGTTCAATTTGTTTTAAGATTACATAGTAATTTTGTATTCAAAATTACTGCATTATTTGTAATGAATAAATTACTCTGTTTCTTTTCTGTGTTTTATGAAGTCTTATGGCTTCCTCAAATTGTATTATACGAAGTAATTCGTACAAACATTGCCATTAATAATGGCCATATTGGCAACTTTTGATTAGATTTACAGATTGTGATGTTTCTTTCCTCTGACTGGTGAATGGAGAAAGAGAACAGCTAACTAATATCCTGTGCTCAATCAAAGGGCCATCGATCTAGGTAAAGTATTTTTCTAATTATGTTTAGTTAAAGTGACAGAAATCTTCACGGGGCTATGTTTAAGCTGACTTAAAATGATTTATACTGAATTTGCTTGATTTTCTTAGTTACTATGAATATAGATAAGGTCTGAGACCCAGTAATAGATATCTGTGCCTGATTGTGATCCCTTAATACCAACAACTTAACAGTCAAATTTGATTTCAATGACACCAGTAGGTGAAGGAAGATCAGGCCCCAAATTGCAAGACTACATGTTTTTTATATATATGTATATGCATACATATATATTTGGTTATACAAATACATATTTCCATGAATATCCTTTCTACTATGTTCCCCTGTCAAGGGAAACTCCTCTGTTCAGGAGTTGGACTTGATGAACTTTGTGGGTCCCTTCCAACTCCAGATATTCTATGATTCTATGAAATCAAAGGTAGAAAATGGAAAACGCTCTTCACCTAACACAGTATAAATTTGATGTAATTTATAAATCATTCAGGTAATTTTCCTGCAAAGATGACTTAGTAACACAACGGTCAACCCTACGTAATGGTGCATTCTTTACACATTCAGCACAATTTATACAGGAGAGGTTATCAGCATCCAAGTTGGATACCTAGTACAGAAAGATGTCTACAGGAGGACAGGTGGGAGCAGGAAGAATTACTGGGGTCCTGACCTGTCTCTGGTGGAGGAATGGAGACTGAGAATGGGTGAAGTCTCCTTGCTACCCTTCCACTCCCTGTTCTCAAATTGTCCCAATATGGGGATAGCTCTTCCTCCTCACCTTCTCCATCTGGGCAAAGCTGCTGCTCCCACAGCCTGATCCTGATCCTTGTAAACCCACTTTGGTCCTCTGGCAAAGTACGTGGCAGGTTGTACTGGACTGAAGGGTAACTCTCCATTCACCTTGCCTCTGCATAACAGAGCCTTCCTCAATAAACATTCCATTCCAGCTTTTCCATTCTCTTCCAGCTTTCCCCCCCGCTGACAAAACAAACCCTTCAACCCCCCTAGCTCGACTGTCAGCTCTGAGATCCACGCAGTGGTTGTCATCTCCTGGCACCATCTCATCCCGCTGCCATGAGATGCCTTCTGTACCACGACATTCACCAACGTCGGCTCCGTCTGGTCTCAACTGTGGCAAGGTCAAAAGAAAAAAAAGGGAGAGAAGAGGAAGAGAAGATGGTAAAAATTATCCTAAACCCAAGAAAAAACCCGATCTAACAAACTGTTCTGCGAAGGCCGACGCCTCCCTGGCCGCTATTCGACGGCAACCGCTTTCGGGCACGGAGCAGCCTGGTAGGTGAGGCAGGCGGACCGCGGCCAGGGGCCGCCTCCAATGGGGCACCGCCGGCCCTGCGCCTCTCCTCGCCTCGCCTCGCCTCCTGAGCGCGGCCGTTCACGGCGCGAGCAGGGAGGGGTTGTTGGACGGTAGAACTGCCCGCAACCCCAGCACCGGCTCCCCCTTTCCTTCCTTCCCTTCCCTTCCCTCCCTGCCGGCGGCCCCGCGGTGCCTCCCGGCGCGGTGCGTTCGTTACCTGGCGCTCGGCGGCGGCTCCGTCCTCACCTGTGCGCGCCCCTGCCAATGGCAGCGCACCTGGCGGCCGCGCCGCCCAATCAGCGCGCGGCTCGTCCCTCTCCCCGCTCCTTTAGTGAAAGAATCCAGCGCCGCTCGGGAAAGTTACCTGTGCGCGTCCGGCCCGGCCGTTCTCCCGTGCCGAGCCCCGCCGGCGCCCCAGCCCCGCCGCTCCCCACATGCCAGGGGGAGGGGGCTCTACCTGTCCTGCCTCGGCGGCTGGCTGCGGAGCCGGGAGAGGGGGGGAAGGAAAGCAGAATTACCAGTAGCTCTGGTTCTGCCGTCCCGGGCGTTCACACGCACACCTTCACCTGCACAGACCTGAAAGTCCAGTTCCGCCAGGGAGACGGAGGCACCGGGAAAAGGGGAGAGAGTTCATTGGATCAAACATGTCACAAGAGACGGACAAGTAAGTGATCGTAGGCACGCCGCTGCACCCGCTGCGCGGGGCGGCCCGCCGGGCTGGCCGCGTTCCCCCTCGCCTGTGGCGGACGCAGACCCGCCAAGACGGCGCTTCTCCCTCTTCTCCCTCCTACAGCGATGCCAGATCGGGCGCATAGACACTGCGGAGCGCCCGAGGACAAGGCTGCGGCTCGCCGCCCCGCACCTCGTTCTCCGTCTGGCCGTGGGGCTGCGCGAATAGTTTTTTCTCTTTTTAGTTCAGGGTTTTTGTTTGTTTGGTTGGGTTTTTTGTATTGGTTTGGGGTTTTTTCTCCCCTCACCTCAAGGGTCGCTTTTCGGGAGGGAGCGCTCCTCGCCCTGGAAGAGCGGAGCGGTCTCCGCCCGCCGAAGGCCCCGGACGGAAAGTGCTTCTTGGCTTTTGTGTTGGCGCAACAAAGAGCTTTATCCCCCAAGGGCCGGGCACGGCCATCTTCCCTCCTGGGCTGGGGCCGGGCAGGCAGGGGGCCCGGGCGGCGGGAGGAAGGCCCTGGCTCGGCCCAGGTGTTCGCCGGCCGCCCCGTGCGGCGCCTTCAGCCCTCGCCGTCTTGACCTTGTTTTCCCAGCGGGACGCCCCGGCAGGCCTGCGGCTGCCTGGAGACCGGCGGGGTTAAAAAGTAACTTTCCCAGTAGCTGGGCCGGAGGAGGAGGATGAGGAGGAGATGGAAGCTGCCCGCTCCCGCCGGCCCAGGGCCCGCCGCAGCCCCTGTTCCGCCCGGGCCTGGCACAGCGAGGCCGGGACAGAGCGGCGGTGCGAGGGGACTCCGCGCTGCCCCCCCCAGGGCCGCCGGCCGTAATCTTGGGACCCCCCAGGACATGCAGGCTCGCGGCAGGGTCAGCGGCGGGCTCGGTGTCCCGCCGCGGGCAGCGCCGCCAGGAGCCGTCGGTGGGCGCCGAGGCCGCGGCGTGGCCGTTCCCGCCACCGCGGCTCCGGCTGCGCCCGGGGCCGGTGGGCCCAGACCGCGGATGGGTCATTTACCCCCGGCAAATAATTCGCACGGGCGATGCCGCTCTCCCGCCATGGCGGCGGGTGGCTCGGCCTGGCGCCCAGAGCCGCCGTGAGGCAGCCAGGCGGGAAGGCCATTTTCCCTGCTCCGGTGATTAGTGTTTCTGCAGGAGGCAGCTGGGGAGAGTTACGGGCAAAGGAAGATGGAGGGCGGGAGGTGGCAGTTTTGTTTTACTGCTGCCCCGGTGCAGGTAGGAACGCCACAGAGACGGGTGTAATCTCGGCTACGCTTGGTGTTAGTCAGGTGGAAGCCCTGGTTGGGCTCCCCAGGAGCCTTTGTGCCAAAGGAGGTGGAGAGGAGGAGCCTGATGCTGTGGAGGGAGGCTTGTTGACAACCTGCCTGTCAAGGAGTGAAAGAAGGAGATTATCCGACAAAAGAGAACAGCAGGGTTGGCTGCCCTGATAGGGAAGAGACAGGACCGTTCAGAGGAGAAAGATTAAGAAAAAAAACTAGGCCTGGTCTTTTCAAACATCAGCTCACAGTGGAATTGTTCAAAGGTGGTTATTGACATGAAATTAAAATGGTTGGGGTAGGAGCTGGGAACAGAGTGGAGTTTAGGAGTTCATTTGAGCTGGGATGGGAACTAATGCCTTAGGTGGCCAGATTAGAGCAGTAAATGATTTGAGTGCAAGGAAGGGAATGAGTATACAGCCCTGAGGGTTGCCAGTGAGGAGCAGGTAAAAGAGCAGTCCTTGAGGTCGGGAAGGGAACCAGATTAACTGTGAAAGAGCTGACATGATGGAAGGCATCCCAAAGCAACGGGCAGTTCCAGGACTGCACGAAGGTGAAAGGGGCCTGTAAGTTACTCCCTGGCCCAACCTAGTTGCCAGTAGTTTCAGCAGTCAGAAACTGGGCTGCGGCAGATCAAGGGCAGTTAACGGGAGTGGGAGGGAAATGCGAAGGGGTGGGGAGGGTCAGAAGAACAGCTTCGCACCACAGTCGGCACTGAAACAGAAAAACAGTGCAGTGGAAACCTAACTCATAAGAAACTAGGGCAAAAGTGGTTCTCTTCTGGACCTTTCCAACAGGAACAGTGTGGCATAGGTGTAAACTATTGAGACAGAAGTGTTAATGCCCTTCATACTCAGCTCTGTGTAGTGCTGCTGCCGCTACTGCTGGGAGGAACTTAAGAGCAGTGGCAGTGGCATGCAACCTCAAGTAACAGCACTTGCCCCGTTGTGCGTATGCCTGTGATCTCTTTCTGGTTAAGGTCTTTAGAAAATTCATAGGTGATAGTTAAGAGTTTGAAAAGGAAATAAAAAGTAAAGAAGTCTCCTGCACTCTCTGTACGCAAGTGTAACATGAGAAGACAAATACATTTGTTTCCAGAAGAGATGACCAGGTGGAATGAGGTAATAGACTGATGGGGGGAGTTTGCATGGGAAGGTTTTTGGGGTTTTTTTTAGGCTCTAATTATATCCAATTAAAACCTAATCCAGAGAGTACATTATTCTCCTCCAAATGGCCTTTCTTTTTGTTAAAACTAGATCTTCCCTACAGGCAAGACTGGACAGTGAAGCTCGTTATTTCAAGGCCAGTTAATTTGTCAGTGTCATTGGACGGGTTTTCGTGGGGCTTGTGCTAGTAAAGTGCTGATGTAGAGAGGACTAAACAGCTGAGGGGATATAGAAAGTATGGAAAATACGTTCTGTGGGACTTACCGGCTTTTCTGGAGAGGTAGTGCACCCTGCTGCACTACGGCTCAACTGGGCTGCCTGCAGTGTTCCCATTTGGAGGGAGGAGCAGGAACAGCGGTTCTATAGTCCTTTAAGGGAGGAAGGTGAACAGTGCTTTTATTCTGTAGTGCTTTAAGGGGCAGTTAGGTGAAAATGCTAAAGAACCAGGTGTTTGATTCTAATGCTAACTGAGGAGCTTGGAAGGGGAGATTATCCTTAAGATAGTCACACTATCTTCCTGTCTCTCCCTTTAGTCTTTCTGCCTAAGCTGGGTCTTGCCTGCTTGCTTCCACAAACTCCCATCGGTCAGGAGAGATAAGGCATGATTGCACATGCATTTTTTCAGAGGTAGTACCGACTTAAGCAGGCTGTAGCCACTTGTTCCTGCTTCTGTTCTGCCCTTTCAGCTGTGTCAGTAGAGCTAGAGAACTGGCTCAGGGGAGCGTTGGTTTGAGAGTAGCCCGATCTTCTCGAGGTTATTTTTGACATTCATTTTTCATCGGTCTGAGTTCATATGCAGAGGGGGTGCAAGCAAATTGCAGGTGTTAAAGACAAGAACTGCTCAATCTATAATCTCTGCAGAAGGAAATGTGTGTCCCTGCCTCTCTATGAATGTTTTGGAGGTTTGTGCATCTGCTTCTGTTACTATCCAATTTCCAGACCCATTATGAGGGGAACCTGGGGATTAAATGGAGACTGGGAGACATAAGGTGGGAGGAGGGAGCATCCCCTTTGCATGGTTTAAAGATGATTCCAGGGTTCATTTCTGCATTTATGGGCTGAAAAGTTGTTCTTACATGTAGTGTACAGGAGAAAAAGATTGCTACAAAATTCCAGAGTAATGGCTCTAGTGCATTAGTGAAGCTAATCAGTGAGCTCACTACTTCGTGAGACTTAACTGGGTTTTAGAGATTGACAATACTTCTGTGAGGAGCAAAAATTGTACAACCGTTTGTGATCTGCCACGGTTGTGTCCCTGCTGCTCCTGATGTTGTGTAAAGTCCCTCGTGGGCTGGAGTGCAGTTGCATGAGGAGCAGGCTCGCAGCTGGCCCAGCATGCTGGCCCTATGGCTCTGCTGGATGCCCGGCCGCATGACTGCCCGTCTGTCAGGCCGGGATGTGCAAAAGCTACTCAGGACACCGTGTAGATGGGGCTGGGGCATGCTTGGACTGACCACATTAAGGAGGGCTTGGGGCAGCCTGGGTCTGCAGCTGAGCATGTGCTTGTGGGTAAATAACTGAGAGGAGAGTGAGCCTGTAGGTGGGAATGGGTTCAGACCTGTTCCTGTGTGTCAGTGGAGGCATGTTCACCTCTGCAGCTTGCTGCTTGGTAGTATCTGTGGCAGAAGTTGATCTTGGATTCTTCACAGGGTAATTTTGATTTACTGTTTTCTCCTTAGTGTGTAAATATACTGCTTTCGTAATATTTAACTTAAGCATCTAGTACTATAATAGAAAGGGCATTTGTAGTTTACAATGTAATTCTGTGAATTGTTCTTAATTTTTTCTTTGAGGGTCAAATGTGTTTCCTATCAGCAGATTGTGAGTGTCAATTAGGTGACAGACTACTCAGTTATATTTTTTTTCCTATTGCTGAGTGTCTGAATAGAACATCCATTGAGATGAACTTTCCAAAGTGTTACTCATCAGGGAATGAATGGAGAAACAGGAATTAGATGTGTTTAGTTTTCCACTTTTCAAATGTCAGACATGCTGTTGTGGATGTTCCCTAGAAAATCATTTCTGTGCAAGGAAGGTAGAAAATCAGTGTGCAGAACCTTACAGAGCTTGCAACTATAAACTTAACTGAGAGGAGTAAGGGTATCAAATGGTTAGGTCTTGCTGTTAACACTGCTGTCTCTCTGGTGCTGAAGTCTGAGACTAGACCGAAGATCAAAGCAGAACAGGAGGGAGGATTTTCCCAGGTCACTTTAACTTGATTGTAATGATCCCATAACCTCTTTCCTGTGGAAGGGTCAGCAGGGACATCATCATCCTTGTTCTAGCAGAGACGCCTGAAGGGGAAATGATATTACACCAGTTGACATTTGTTGTCAAACATTTTCACAAATATTAATCCAGTGCAGACCATTGATGGTTGCCTTAAATACTTTTTTCCTTTACTATGGAGCAGCCAATTAAACTGCCCTTTTTTTGTACACACACGAAACAGCACTTTCAAATGCTGGTCTAAGAATTCATCCTGGGATGAATGTTCATTAGCTTTTTAATCAGTGATTGGGACGGTGCTGGCTAATTAAAAGAAGATAAGTAATTATTTTGGACAT